GTAAGTCATCTCTCATTATTCGTTTTTCCCCTCAGTATCTCTTCCCTCCCTCCCTCATTTTCCCCTCCCTCCTTACCTCTCTCCAGCTCCCCAGCTCGCTCTCGCTCTCTCTCCTCTCTCTCCACTCTCTCTTCTGTTCTTTTCTCTTCTCTTCTCCTCTCTCTCTCTCTCTTCTCTTCTCTTCTCTTCTCTTCTCTTCTCTTCTCTTCTCTTCTCTTCTCTTCTCTCCTCTCCCTCTTCTCCTCTCCTCTCTCTCCTCCTCTCCTCTCTCCTCTTCTCCTCTTCTCCTCTTCTCCTCTTCTCCTCTCTCTCCTCTCCTCTCCTCTCCTCTCCTCTCTCTCCTCTCTCTCCTCTCTCTCTCTCTCTCTCTCTCTCTCTCTCTCTCTCTCTCTCTCTCTCTCTCTCTCTCTCTCACACACACACACACACACACACACACACACACACACACACACACACACACACACACACACACACACACACACACACACACACACACACACACACACGCACGCACACGCACACACACACACGCACACACACACACACGCACGCACACACACGCACGCACGCACGCACGCACCTCCCCCCCCCCCCAACACACACACACACCATTCCCTTTTTCTCCTTTTTTCTGAAAGGAAAGAAAAGATAAATATTTCCTTTCTTTCTTTCTCCTCATCTATTGTTTGACTTCTCTGTTCATTTTCTTTTCGCTTTTTCGACCCTCCTCCTCTCTTCCTGCATCTGTTTCTTGTGCATTCTTCGTTTTCCTCTTTTTAATTCTGCCCTTTTTTCATCCCCTCCTCTTCCTCCTCCTTCCTTCTTTTTCTTTTTCTTCTTCCTCTTACTCCTTTTCCTCCTCCTCCTCCTCCTCCTCCTAATCTTAATCCTAATCCTTCGCCTTCTTCTCCTATTACTCCTCCTTCTTCTTCTTCCTCTTTCTGTACCTCTTCCTCTTCCTGCTCTTCGTTCTCCGTCTTCCCTCCTCCTCCTCCTCCTCCTCTTCCTCCTCCTCCTCCTCCTCCTCCTCCTCCTCCTCCTCCTCCTCCTCCTCTTCCTCCTCCTCCTCCTCCTCTTCCTCCTCTTCCTCCTCTTCCTCCTCCTCCTCCTCTTCCTCCTCCTCCTCCACCTCCTCCTCCACCTCCACCTCCACCTCCACCTCCACCTCCTCCTCCTCCTCTTCCTCCTACTCCTCTTCCTCCTCCTCTTCCTCCTCCTCCTCCTCCTCCTCCTTCCCGGTATCCTGTGTATCCTAGATTCATAAAACTGCAGTGTATAGCATTTTAAGAGAAACATTCGTACAGTTTATTAGTAAAGCCACACATGTCCTTAGCGAGAATCGTTATCATATCCCGATAACAATGATAAGGCATGTCTTGTAACTCCGTCCGTTGTTTATTATCTTACCCTTCCTCAACATCTTCGCGTTTGCATTTGCATTGGATTTCGAAAGGATTGTTTGTATAACTTGCACTGCGGGAAAGAAAGTTCTGGCTGTAGAAGGCGTAAGGAGGGTTAAAAAAGAGAGTCATGTGTTTTAAATGTCTTAGTTGAATCATCTTAGAACTGTCGCAGCGATAACGCCGTACGGCAGATAACAGATTGATAAGAAGCGTAAGCAGAAAAGCGCATTATCAGAAATGTGTCGCCTTGGGTTGTGTATGCACGCGGTTACTCTTTCAGCAAAAAGGGAAGTGTGCTGTGGTTAAGTAGGTCGTGCTACCATAACATAGAAGCGTGACGGAACAGGAAAGGTTTGAACACGTTGAAGGAGCTTATGGTTGCTTGTGGCGTCGCACAGTAGTATGGTGGCAGCAGCTCGGGATGGCAGCGCTGCCATGGGCAACGCTTGTGGAGTCTCGCATAGGTGTGAATACGTGAACTGATGTGAATCGCTAACGAAATATAACGAAAAGTTTGGTCAGAATAGCATAAGGCATAGTCATGTACCGAATGGGAAATGTCAGTGAAATAGTGGTGTGCGTGTGTCTCTTCAAATAAGCATGCCCGCATAAGGGCTGAAAAAAAACGCAAATATTTTGTTCATCGCTGTAGGCAAACACGCCGCAACGCAGAAGCGAGACGGAAATGTCTAAAGGGAAAGTGTGAGTCGATCCTCATGTCAACACCTGGAGCATAGGTCACCCTGCCGAGGGAAGACCTGGGCGTGGCCACCATGCTCAAGTTCAGGTATGACAGCAGCTGTCGATCCAAGAAGCGGGAGGATCGGCGGAGGGTGCAGTCGACGGGCGACTTCGACCGCGACCACAGGTAAAGAGGTGTGAGTCAGTGGCGCTGGCGATAATGATAGTAGTAGTGGTGATAATCGGAATGGTGTTTATAATCATATCAGTTAAGATAAGAGAAACTCAAAAAATAGAGATTGATATTATGAAATAAAAATAGTGATGATAGTTACATGGTAATATACGTAAGAGTGACAGCAGTGATTAATGAAGATTAATGATGCATGCTTTATGCTTTGTCACGTTTATTT